GGGCGCGGGGTTGGGGCTGCAATCGCAGGGCGGGGGCAACACAATCTACCTCCACTGGGGAGGACTCGGGGTTGGGAGTGTCGTCTGGCGGAGGGAGCGACAGCATGCCTCGCAGGTACTTGGTGACCGTCCGGATCCGGCGCTCGCGTGGCCCGCCCCTGGTCAGGAGGTACGTGGTGCACATTGTCCGACCCGCCGACGAGCGGACCGGCGAGTGGCCGCCCGGGGCCCTGCGGAGAAGGCAGCGGCAGCCGTCCCCGCCGCAGCAGCAGCATCCTCGAAGACCAGGTAGGAAGGCCCTCGGCCGGTCCCCGCAGGCTCGCCACTGGCCCGGGTGAGGTCGGGCTGATTTAGGAAAAGGTTAAGTCCCCTCCGGTCCAGGCCCGAGCAAGTTTGCGGGGAGCGGCTCTATCCCTATTGCTTACAGGCCAGGTTGCATTCTCCCCAGACCCCACAGACCCCTTCACTCTCCTCCCGATCCTCTGAATGGAAGGGCGCACGAGGCACGAGGAGTTACTAAAATCACCTTAGAAGTGAATGACGCCTGAATTTCCTAGGTGGGAGTAAATGGAGCACCCTCTCTTCACCCTCACCTTTCACGCCCACACCGTTTTGCCCCTTTGGTTCCATTGTGAATTTCGAACTCTTTATACCATTCAGTCTTAGTTTCCTTTAGGGTCACAAGCGGGATCGCCACCCCCCCTCCCCCCCACCTTCCGAAAGCAATGGAGGAAGGTAGGGGCCCAAACAAGGTTTGACTGCCCCTCCTATCAGGAGAGCCAGTAAACAAATGCTGCATGGAGCAGAGGGTTGCTTCTGGAGGATCCTGCTGCCCAAAGAAAGAGAGGGAAACTTTCCCTGGAGGCCCAGCCTACTTACTAAGTTGCCAGAAAGATTGAAACCGCTTAGCCCGATCCTTCTACTTAACAGACCTTAGAATTTAAGTAAAGCCTCCGAGGAATCACTACCTACTATATTTAAATCCTCTTGGGCCACAATGAGCACTTTTTAGAAAAATTGAGGCCTACTTTTTAAAACAAATTCCAATCCGAAGTAGATTTGACCTCACACCTTTACACAATTCATGTGCCTACGAGCAGGATAATTGGGGGAAGGGGGAAGCCAGTTACAATTTGCAGAATTATTTTTTTATTTGCAGAATCTTATTTCGAATTTAGATAAGTCTAAAAATAATTCAGCCAGGCTTCATTTTTGTGACTTTCTTGGTGGCATCCCATCCACAATAATCTTCAAAAAGCAAAAGCAAAACCATGGGGGGGGGGGGTTGCAAAGCAATTCTACTCTTATTGCAACTTTTGTGGGCTTTTAGGCATGGAAATATAAAATTTTTGAAATGCTCAGTGCTGCTTCTTCATGTTAGCAAAAGCGTATGAATAATTTATAGGATGAATATGCATTTTCCCCACAGGATCCTGAAGATTCAGTTAAAATACAGGATTCTGAAAGTTCAGTTAAAAAATAAAATCCAGGAGAAGATTATAGGAGATCTCCAGCCATGTGGCTGGACTTGATTTTAGTTCATTAAGTGGCCCTTTATTGGTAATAGGGAATATTTAGCCATTGTGATTTTTAAGTGCTTGAATACCATGGTTGTTACTAGGACATTATATAGAGATATTTGTTTATCATTGTTTCTAGAAATCTGTAATAACAAAATAGAATTTTTAATTGAAGTAATTCTAGGGTTATGCTTTCCCACTTTAAAAATGGAGATATTCTGTACACGTTAAAGCTAGATAGTATATCATTTTAATATTATTATATAACATCTCTAAATTGATAGGTTTATGGAAAATAAGCAGTAATTTGTTAGTTATTTATTATCCAGTTTTTTTAATGATGCACAATATTATTTTTAAGTGGTACTCACTATGCAAAATGGCCCATTTTATTTTCCCCATGAGGACAGAGCACATGGCTGAGAAGGCATGAATATAAGTCCTAAATATATGGGCAGTTTTCCAACTTCATATATGGAATTATACATATTAATAAACATCCGGTGTGTTAATTATAAATATGACTAAATGTTTAAAATTGTAAATTATGCATATGGTTTTATTGATTTAAAACTATATAGAGATGCTAATTAGACTCAGCCTTACACAAAGTCATAGAGCTCCCAATTGCTAAAACACAAAGTTTATACAAATTGTTTACTATTAATGCAAATAGACATCAATTTTAAAGTATTTTTCAAAGTTTCTGCAACTGTGTTCATCATGACTTTCTCATGTGATTGGAAAACGTGTATAATAAAATTCCACATTTATGGTTGTTTATGCATGCATACATGATTAATTGCATCAGTTGATTTTTTACTTCTACTTTGGAGTGTTTGCAAAATAGTCATGATTTCATTATGAAGTAGTAGCTACACAAGCTATTGCTTGTAATATTTCATAGATCTGTACTGATATGTTAGTTCATTAGTATAGCAAAGCAAAACTATTTTACCAATATGTAAACTATTCCCTGTGAATAAAGTGACCCAATCCGTCTCACCAATTTGTCTCAAAATACTTTCTTAAACTGGGGAGATGAATAACATGGCCTAGTGTTTTTAAAGCCTTTATTCCTTTTTGAGAAAAAAAAATTTTCACTGACCCTTCCCCCTACCTAGAACACCTTAGGCCCCAGAGAGTTCCTGTTACAAGACCCAACCAGATTTTTTAACGTTTTGTGGTATCTTATTTTTTACTAAGCTATGTAAGTGGGGTATTGTTTCATTTTCCAAATATAAAATTGCAGCACTGCCCGCCCCCCATGTACACAGTGCTCTCAGTTCTGGTTCTGATTTTCTGACTGGACAAAGTGGTTAATGCACTTTCTTAACCATCTCAAGGACTTTTCAGTATCAATCAAGAACTTTAAAAATATCCGTCTGCTATGATTTAGTTATTCCATATATAGATATTATCCTAAAAATGTTAACAATAAGGTGGTGTTCAAATATGGTACAACTAGACTCTAGAGGATTAGATAATCATCAATAGCTATCATGCCTTGAAAGAATATTCCATAGAATGCAAAATGACTGCATTATAAAGTTAGGGGATTTAAAACTATATACAAGATTTGAAATAGTAGTAAAGCGTTTCCTCTTTACTCCCTCTCCCACATGTTCTTATTCATTGCACCTAAATATAATTTTAAATGTTATACATATTTACCAAAATGTCTCAGGGGGAGGGCAGGCGAATCACCGGTAAAATTAAGCACTATTTTCAAAGCCTCTGTTTCTGAAACCACCTTACTGTGCAGGAGGAACTAAGAGCTTGCTTCTAGTTAATGGGTGGGGAAGGAGAGGTGAGAGGAAACTGAGTTATACAGGTATCAGATGAGAAGCCTTCCAAAAGTTTGGGGAGAGGGAATCCATTATCTTTTGACTCCGACTTCCGCACACACTTTCTGAAGCATCTACCGCTAATATGAAAAGTTGGCTCCCTCGGGTTTGGGATTCCAATTTCCAGCGCTTGCTCTGTGGTTCAGCACTGAGCAGCTAGGGCTTAGCATCTCCGTACTCAGCTCCCACCTACTCCCTCCCCACCCAGGCCCCTCCCCTAGCCCTTAGAGACCTTGGCGTCTCGGAGGCCCAATGCCAGTAGTGGGAGGCAGCAGGAAGCAGAACTCTACAGGCAGAGATTAGAGACTAGAGACGGGGATCCTTGGTCCACCATGAGGCGTGCATGCACACTTGCCCGACTTTTGGCCTCTTCTGGACCTTGTTCCTCCCACGTTTATTTTCTGCAAATACAATTTAGTCAGGATAAAACTGGACAAGGTGGGGGTACACAAAATATGATTAGGTAGCGTGGATTCAAGAGGGGCAGAGGGGTGGGACAGGCGCAAGAACAGCAGGTTATCCTTTCCTTAGGAGAGAGGGGAGAGGTGAGTCAGGGCCATTCCCTTCCCTCCCACGCCTGCCTGGTAGAGACCTAAGAATGTTGAAAGGCTGCGTGTGTTGAGTGCTTGCATTCTTTGCTGCCTGAGGGTACTCTGAGTGGCAGAGACCAGTTTTCCAGGACTGGTGGCTCATAACTTTTCTTTTTTGGGTGTTGCACTTTTGCCATGTTTGGAAACTAACTCCTTTCACTTAAAATAGGCAAATAAAAAACGCTAATTATGAGGGTGAGTGCAGAGTGGAGACCCAAATCCTATCTGTAGGTAACTGGACACCCCCTTTCTGAAGGGTTGCTGGGAGGAGATGAGCCAGTCAGGGTGCAGGGTAGCAGCGATGAAACATACAACTTTCCTCTAATTCTTTTTTTTTAAATCATTTTATTGGGGCTCATACAATTCATCACAATCCATACATACATCAATTGTGTAAAGCACACTTATACATTTGTTGCCCTCATCATTCTCAAAATTC